TACTTCATATTGAGCTATGACTAAATTATTGACTGCAATTAATCAAATATATTCTTAAAAGCATTATGCATAATATCTACTTCATATTGAGCTATGACTAAATTATTGACTGCAATTAATCAAATATATTCTTAAAAGCATTATGCATAATATCTACTTCATATTGAGCTATGACTAAATTATTGACTGCAATTAATCAAATATATTCTTAAAAGCATTATGCATAATATCCAAAAATAAGCATAGTATTAATTAGCAAATTAAGCAGACCATCCTATCAGAAACTCCGTAAAGCAATTGCTACTTATTCAGTTTGTAAAATTTCTAAATGCTTTTCTAAATAAAATATTTCAATTTGTTTATTTAAAAGTGTTTGTAAGTCTTCTTGGATTAACGTTGCACTTAAAATCTCTTTAAGTTCATTCAATCTCTCAGCATTAGAATTGTCATTAGTTTGAAGAATTCTAGAGTGCTTTTGGAGTAATTTTTCCAAGATATATATCTCAGCTCTATTAAGCCGTTCCTTGGCAGTATTAATTAACAGTTCTAATTCTTGCTTCTTTAAGGGAATATGGATAATTAAATCTTGGACTTTTAGTCTTCTGATTTCAACTCTTAGAATTTGGAAACTAAAAGGCTGATTGGGATAAAGTATGTTGTTGATGTGATTAAATTCATCATTGATTAACCTTAATCGTTCATTGGACATCCTTAATATGTCTTCAAACTGATCTAGTTCTCGTTCGATATTTTGTTGCTTTTTAGTTTCTAAATAATTTAATACTTCTTGTTTAGTTCTGGGTAATTTTAAAGTAATTAATCTGCTTTCTTCTACCGCATCTAGCAATAATTCAAAAGCAGTTCGGCACAAACTATAATGGCGTAAATTATAACGAGGTAGAATTTTTTCCCAGGCTCGTTGTAAAAGCTGCTCATTAGATAGTTTTCGGATATCGTAATCGTATAAGTATATCGACCTTATCAATAAACCTTCCACTCTTCTTCTATTGAAGGTTACTGCATTATTCATTTTCTCTTTTCTTTTTCATAAAATATCAAACTAATATTAGAGCAACTAGTCCGATACTTCTAATCTCCAAGATGAAGTTGCAAAAACAAAACCGGAAATTGATATAATTTATTTATTCATTAAAGTTATAGGTATAGTTTAAATATACTTTATAGTTATTATAAAGCGACTATACTTCTTTTTTTTATTTGTATAGTTATGTCATCAATTTAAACCTTTTCCCTATGATGATGCCATCATTAAAATTTAATAAAATTTAAACTATATACTGTAAAGATATAAAGCATTGATGACGTAAACTGTACAACTATGAGAATTTTTATAACGTAAAATTGGGTATCGGTATTGCTAAAATCCACGAAACTGGTTGTTTAGGGACTCGATCGATAGTTCGAAATTACACTTTAAATATGTATGTACGTACGTACATGCATACAGTATGTGCGTATGTACAGAGCTCGAAACTTAGGTTTTAAATTCGAACGCAACTTTCACATGATATTCGAGTTTAGTTCGAACCACTCTCGAACGGGTCCGAACAGGACATTTACCATCCTTATCTCCAGTGACATTAGTTGTCAAATGAATACCACGTCGAATGATCAGTATTTCAAATGAATACATCGATATATTATATCAAATATTGATTAACGTGGAATATCTTTTCAATTGTTAAATGTAGGATTAGTGTTAATTTCAATAAGATATTTAATCTTAAAAGTTTTTAATATCACCATACCATGGCATCTCGCTCAATCAAGATTTAGTAATTCAAATTTGTAATGGTCGTAGACATGAAATCAGACATAAAGATCTTCAATTACTCTTAGATTTAATGAATAGATGTTTAAACGATAAACATCAAGAAGGATCAACTGTTAAAGAATTGCAGTAACAGATGCACTAAATCAATATATATAAATGATTTGTATTCAAAAGAAGCTGAATAATATAAACTAAACTGAAGTAATTGAAAAATTCAATAAAAAAAGCCATTGGCTTGTCAAGCTAATTTAGACTATTCAATTATTAAACATGTAATATTTGTATCAGCAAGTCTTTGAATTTTTAAGAACTACTTAAACCAACAAATGTATTTTTCAAATAATCTCTAATTGTCTAATTTGCGAGAAATGGTTTGAATTTACATTTTAATATATTTTAGACTATTTCTATTTGTGCACTTGTGTATGAAACACAAGTACATATAACAACCCAAAATTTGCTTATGAAACCGTTTTTTGAGTTTTAACAAAAAAAAACCTCCGTGAAATTTTAATAAATAAATCATACTCTAAGACAAACTTTAAACTCAAACTTTAAACCCAAACCTTAAACCAAACCTTAAACCCAAACCTTAAATCTAAACCTTAAACCTAAACCTTAAATCCTAACTTTTGTTGTCTTTAATTACGTTAAACGGATTTACATATTATATTAGTGCATCTTCAACTATATTATATAGTTTGTTTTTTTTTTAAGATTTAATATTAAACAACATGACGGAAGTTCATTTTATTGGCTGTTATGTTGTATGATCATCAAATATGATTAACTGATGGCTAATGCTAGTTTTAGCGTTAATTTTGTAATACTTTTCAACATATCAAATACAAAAAAGTTTTAATATTCTAAGAGGTGTCTAAAGTTATAATATATATTATTGTGCCTAGAATTATTGATCGCAACCCCCTAAATGCATGTACCTAGGGATGGCAAAAAACATGTTTTTTATTTTCTTGTGTTTTAAAACATGTTTTAAAACATGTTTTAAAACATTTTTT